AAATGCTCTCTTTCGTGGAAAACACTTGAAGGTGAGGGAAGGAGGTGCGAGGTAGCGAGGGCCTGGGGGGGACGAGGCTGGGCATGAAGGGGCACGGGCGCACGGGTGATACCGCGTACGGCGGAGGGAGGGCAGAGCGAGGAGCGATGAAGAGAGAAACGGAAAGATAATGGAGACTTATGAGGAAAGAATGTGCGGGCGCACCTCATTCAGCTTCCCCACCAGCCTCTCTTCACACAACGGTGCCCTACCCTCCCCTAGAGGCCCCTCCACCGCATCACTGCAGGCAGCCAGCCACGCGTCCAGCGCCTGCACCGCCTGCTGCAGCTGATGGCGCTCAGGGCTGGCCACTATGCTGCTGCTGCCACGGGCCTGCGGGGGAGGCGGGGTTGGGGAGGAGGGACGGGAGGGACGGGAGGGAAGGGAGGGACGGGATGACACATGGAGCATGGGGAAAGTCGGGGGGGGATTGGAGGAGGGATAGCATGCTGACCAACTAGGCTTATCCTGTGATAGACCGGCAAGAAGAATCACAGTAGAGGTGGATTTTGACTTGACAGTTGCTAGGATCTCAAATCTCAACTCGAGCAAAGCACATGAGACCGAAAGATGCGCTCCAGCTGAGAGTGCTTGGCGCAGAGCGGAGTGCAGAAAGCCCTCTTTCGTGATGCGTGCAAAGAATGCGGAACCGATTGTGACGCACCTGCAGGGTGTTGAGGTGTGCGAGGGTGGTGAGAAGAGGAGGCGGATGCGATGGGGGAGTGGCGGCAGTGGACGCCATGGACGGCGGTGCAGGCCAGCAGGGCGGCTCAGGTGCCAGCAGCTGCTGCACCTCGCAGACCCACTCTCTGCCACAAGGTAAGCGAGGCACACGGGGCATGTGGAAATGGGTAAGATGCAGAGAGAGCATGGTTGACCAGCACGCCGTGCTTCGATGGAACGAATCTGCGATGGCAGCGCTACAGAGAGGCCAAGTGAGAGAAGCTGCTGACCTGTGGGCGGCAAGGATGGCGTTGAGGCGCTCGCACTCCCCCCGCACACACACTCGCAGGCCCTGTGGAGGGAGGGTGAGGCACGAGGATGTGGAATGAGAGAAAGAAGATCATTAAGGATACGTTTTCCAGCGCAGATATCAACAGTTCCTCCCTTCCCTGCCTACTCCTTGCCCCTCTGTCCTCACTCCCCTTCCCTACAACCATGCTCACGAGCCCATCACCACAACACCCCCTCTCGCCCCCTCACCTCGCCACGTGTCACCATCGCCTCCACCTCTTGCACCTCACAGCTGGCAGGTCCACGTGTCATCATCTCATTGGCTGCCTGGACCCACGGGTGCGCGTCAGCGAGAGCAGAGCGGAGCTGAGCGAGGCGTGCTGAGGGGGGCGGCACGCTTGAAGACGGAGGTGGTGCGGAGAGTGGATGCGGGCACGCGGCCACAAGCCTCTCCATCGCCTCAATGCTCGGCTTGCCACGGCTGCTCGCGCCCTTGTGGGTCGCAGCAGCAGCACTGGCATCACCTGCAGCACCACACAGCATGGCGTCAGCATCCACCTCCCACTGCGCCTGCTGCTCCAGCGTGCGCAGCGCAGCGAGCTCTGGCAGCGCAACGCCGAGGCTGAGCCCTCGCGAGAGCAGCGCTGAGAGCTCGTCCAGGCTGGCCCTGGCTGAATCGGCCCGCACCACTGGTGCAGGTGCCACTGGTGGCGGCTTAGCTTGAGGTGACGCTGCTGCTGATTGCATGGGGGGGGCGCTGGACGTGATGCTGGGAGGGGAGCTGATGGGGAGTGAGGCTGGGCTGGTGGGGTTGCAAGGCACCGCGGCTGCTGTGGATGGTGTGACTGTGGTGGATGGTGTGACTGTGGTGGATGGGGTGCCTGTGGTGGTTGGTGTGACTGTGGTGGATGGTGTGACTGTGGTGGATGGAGCAAGTAGGGAGGTCGCGGTGTGCATGGCCTGAGAGGCATCGGCTTGCCAGGAGGAGAGGGAGGCGAGGAGCGAGGCGAGCTGAGAGGTGTGGGGCAGACGCATGGGCAGCGCAAGGAGGGCCGCATGGAGGGCCTGCGAGAAATGGGGAGGGAGGGACGAAACGGGAGGGGAGAATAGGAGGTGGAGGGATGTGAGACGGAACGGGGCCACGTGGGACAAAGGAGGAGCCAGTGGACTGAGGAGGCATGGAATCCGAGCTGGTGGGAGCAGGTGGAGGGGCAGGTGAGAGTGTGAAAAACGGTTGAAGCAGCTATGGAGGGATGGGTGTGCAGCGAATGGGGGGATGAGTGACACACGGGGTGGGGAAGGCCGCAGCATACCTCAACCTCCCCCACTGTCACACACGCGCCCTCGCCCTCCTGCGCCGCCCCTCCCTGCTCCTCCCCCCTCCACGCCCTCAGCTCCCCCCTCCCTCCCTCGCCCTCCCCTCGCCCTCTCCTCTTCCGCTTCCCCCTCCCACCACCACCTCTCTCCTTCCTCCCCATCGGAGTACCAGCACCGCTGGCAGCCGCAGCACCAGCACCACCACTTGCAACAGCAGCGGCAGTGGCCGTACCAGCAGCAGCAGAGCGGTGCACAGCCAGTAGTAGCTGGTCGGCTTGACTAGCGGCCGTCCTTGCTGATGCCAGTGCTGACATCAGCTGCGCATGGCCTGCCAGTGATGCTGGGATGGCGTCAGCCTCCCTGGCAGAGGGCGAGGGGGGGGGCGGGGCCATGGGGGAGAGAGGAGCGCAGCACAGGAGGGGAGGAGGCATGGGGGGACGGGAGGGGGGCGGGAAACGGGTAAGGATGGATGGATGGATGAGGCACAGCGATTAGGGAAGAATATGACGAGGTGGATTCATTGACGTCTCCAGTTGGATAGGCGGAGCGATGGCATCACCATCGCCATCACCATCACCATCATCACCATCATCATCACCATCATCACCATCATCACCATCATCACCATCATCACCATAACCATCATCACCATCACCATAACCATCATCACCATCACCATCACCATCATCATCATCACCATCACCATCACCATCATCATCATCACCATCACCATCACCATGACCATCACCATGACCATGACCATGACCATCATCACCATCACCATTGCCCGTTGTAACAAAGCCGCCTCCTCCTTCCCGCGCGCATCACCTCTCAGCACCACCAGCTCCCACCCCATCCTATCACCCCACCGCTCACCTCCCGCCCATGTCCTCCATCTCCCCTCATCGAGCACCCCCCCTGCAGCGCCCTACTCTCCCCTTCCTACCCCCCCCCGCTCACCTGCCCATCTCCTCCACCTCCACCATGCCGCAGCCCCCCTCCAGGGCCCTCCCCACCCTCGCCTCCCACGCTGCTGCTGCTACCACCACAGCTTGCAGGCGCGGCAGCAGGGCGCTGGGGATGGGCAGACTGGGGGGGGATGAGGATGGGGGAGGAGGATGGCGGGCAGGAGAAGAGTGAGCAGCATGAGGGTAAGGCGAGATGCAGGAGAATTGCATGACATGCGTATTGAGGGGAGTTAGCAGGCGACGAGACAAGCACGAGAAGGGAGCGAGGAATGCACAGCAGAGTCCGTGCCATGTCATCGCAACCTTTGCAAGCCCATAAGGCAGCAGAGCCCTATGCAGGTGAATGCCATCGCAAACTTTGCGACACACTTCCCATAGCATGCACAAGGACATGATCATTCGCGATCGCCCTACGCATGTGAATGCGAAGAAGTTCAAACCGGCACCCTCGAAGCCCTGGATCTCTCTCTCACCTCGCCCCCTGCTTCTCAAGCGCCGCCAGCTCGCCAACTGTCAGCCGCTGCACCAAAGCCCCCTCTGCCGCCTCCTCCCACTGCAAGCGCTGCAGCTGCTGCTGCACCTGATGCAGCTCGCCCACTGGCAGCACGCAGGGGGGACAAGGGGGGGCGGTAGGGATGATGAGACTTGCAACAGCACCGGCCATTCACAAGGATCAGAAAAAACAATTGATCCCCATGGCATTCACCGACCGAACTCCGTTGTTTCTCTCAATTTCTCCCCCCCTCCCCTCTCCCCCACCCCCTTCGCCACCCCCACTCACATGTGACTTGCATCCGCCTGCCTGCTGCCACCAGCGCTGCCAGCTCTTCCCTCCACCCACTGCGAGTGGCCATGGCTGTGGCGGATGTGGCAGCGGTGGGCGTGCCAGCAGTGAGGGCTGAGGATTCACGTGGAGTAGCTTGGGCACGAGGAGTGACAGGCGCAGCAGCACACGTTGCAGGAGGAGGGGAGGAGAGGGGTGTCGAAGGCTGAGCGGTGGGAGTATGGGTCGCAGTGGGAGTGACCGTGGGGGTGACAGTGGCAGTGGCAGAAGGAGTGGGGGTGGGGGTGGCTGCTGCAGGGTGGTCGGATACAGAGCAGCAGGCAGCAGTGGTGGAAGGAGGAGTTGTGGGAGAGAGGGCAGCAGTGGCACGAGGCATGGGGGTGGCGGGAGCAGGAGTTGAGGGCCCAGGGGCAGGAGGAGATCCGGAGGGAACAGGGCTGTGAGACGCATGTGTGCTGCTCGCACTGCCAGCTGCTCCACCACCCAACCCCTGCCCCTGCCCCTGCCCCTGCCCCTGCCCCTGCCCCTGCCCCTGCGCCCGCGCCTGCGTCTGCTTCAGGCTGCGCCTCTCCTTCCTCCCCAGCGCCGCCAGCAGCGCGCGCGCCCTCTCCCCCCAGCGCCGTGCGTCGTCCCTCCTCTCCTGCAGCTGCTGCACCGCTGGCAGGCGCACTGCCACCCCCCTCGCCTCCTGCAGCAGCGACTCCATGTCCTGCCGGTGGGGGGAGAGGGGGCGGGCAGGGGAGGGCCAGAGGGAAGCAAAAGAGGGAGATCGGAGGGAGGGAGGAAGAGAACGATGAAAGTGATGAGTCTTAGCAGTGAGATGGTGAGCGGGGGATAAGGAGAGAGGGGGATAAGGAGAGAGGGGGATAAGGTGAGAGGGGGATAAGGTGAGAGGGGGATAAGGTGAGAGGGGGATAAGGTGAGAGGGGGGATAAGGAGAGCGGGGGATAAGGAGAGCGGGGGATAAGGAGAGCGGGGGATAAGGAGAGCGGGGGGATAAGGAGAGCGGGGGATAAGGAGAGCGGGGGATAAGGAGAGCGGGGGATAAGGAGAGCGGGGGGGGATAAGGAGAGCGGGGGATAAGGAGAGCGGGGGATAAGGAGAGCGGGGGATAAGGAGAGCGGGGGATAAGGAGAGCGGGGGATAAGGAGAGCGGGGGATAAGGAGAGCGGGGGATAAGGAGAGCGGGGGATAAGGAGAGCGGGGGATAAGGAGAGCGGGGGATAAGGAGAGCGGGGGATAAGGAGAGCGGGGGATAAGGAGAGCGGGGGATAAGGAGAGCGGGGGATAAGGAGAGCGGGGGATAAGGAGAGCGGGGGATAAGGAGAGCGGGGGATAAGGAGAGCGGGGGATAAGGAGAGCGGGGGATAAGGAGAGCGGGGGATAAGGAGAGCGGGGGATAAGGAGAGCGGGGGATAAGGAGAGCGGGGGATAAGGAGAGCGGGGGATAAGGAGAGCGGGGGATAAGGAGAGCGGGGGATAAGGTGAGCGGGGGATAAGGAGAGCAGGGGATAAGGAGAGCGGGGGATAAGGAGAGCGGGGGATAAGGAGAGCGGGGGATAAGGTGAGCGGGGGATGAAGGAGGCATCACAGGTGAGAGCACCAAAGCTGTGAGAGCATGGGGATGCGGGTCACCGAGTGTTGCAGGCAGGGGGGCGGACGGGGGGTGTGGGGAGCTGGGAGACAAAGGGGAAGGAAGGGAGGCACAACGCAAAGCGAAGATGGAAGGCGAGAGCAGGGCCAGAGGGGGCGAGGGGGCGAGGGGGCGAGTACCTGAAGCGAGGGCGCGGCGTGGAGCAGGGCGTGGGCCCGCGCATCCATGCGCTTGGCGGCTTGCAGCAGCGCGGACAGCCCCTCGTGCTCTGGCACCCGCACACTCAGCCGCTCGCCCTGAGGGGGGCCAGGGAGGCAGGAGGGAGGGTGGGGAGGGAGGGTGGGGAGGGGTGAGCGAGATCACGAGGAGAAGAGGACAGGCCAGTGCAAAAGGTGACGAGGGAAGTTGACAGAAAGAAGAGCGGGTTGGGGGGGGGAGGAGTTTCTTGAGGCATGGGTTGGAGGAGGTTCGGAAGCGCATGATGTGTTTCAGCGTGGAGCGGAAATTTTGAAGTCCAAAAGCAGGGGGAGCAGCAGCGATGAGGGGAGCAGCGGCGATGAGGGGAGCAGCACCTGGGAGGCGAGCATGGCGAGGGAGTGCAGGTCCGGCAGAGGGGCGTGCGCAGCTGCTCGAGGTGCCTTCACCAGCGGCAGAGCCCTCTGCACCGCTTCCGACCATTGCTGCAGAGACAGGCGAATAGGCAGGGCGGAAGGGAGGGGGGACGGAGAGGGTTGGTTGGTGTGTCTGTGGATGGGAAAACGTGATAAGCCAAGGTAAGGTAGGGAGCGGTGGTGTGCATTATGCTTATACCTTGGTGGCAAAACGACCCTAATTACCGCTGTAGTGGCACACCTGGGCGGTTTGAAGACGCACCTGGGCGGCGAGGAGAGCGTCCCTGAGTTTGGCAGCTGCGGGGATGTCAACTGTGGCTCTTGCTGCCTCCGCTTGCAGCGTGTGTAGTGCCTTGGCCTGGCGGGGGGGTGTGGGGAGCACGCAGGGTGATGTGGGGAGCACGCAGGGTGATGTGGGGAGCACGGGGCTCAGGGTTGATGGAAGGTTGTTAGAGAGGCTGCCGCGGTGGGCACACTCTTGAGAAGTACAACGACGCAAAGCATTCGGAGCGGAGAAGAGGGTGGAAAGGACGCCGTGGGCTGGAAGAGGGTGGAAAGGACGCCGCGGGCTGGAAGAGGGAAGCGCTTTGGTAAGCAGTGGCTTGGCAACAGTGCGCACCTCGAGTGGCGGCTTGGCGTGGAGAGCCAGGCGAATGCGCTGGTCGAGGTCAAGCGCGTCCCGGTACAGCAGCTGGGGGGGGGGGGGGACGGGACGGCGGATAAATATGCGAGCAAGGGGACAGGGAAGCGAAGACGGGAGGAGAGTTGGCTGCCAATATCTTTATATTTCACACGTGCAAGCACAGCAGATTCAACACCACCAACCAGTAGACCCTCACAATCCACCCCTGGCCTGCATGCACCTTGAGCGTCTTGAAGTGCGGCTCGATGCACGGCACCTCACTCGCCGCCGCCTCCAGCAGCCGCTGCATCTCGTACAGCCCCCTGCGCCGCCCGCCCCCACCCACACGGCTTCCCGGCCCACTTGCTGCGTGGCTTGGAGCAGCAGCCACAGCCCCAGCAGCCTCGGCAGGGGCAGGTGACGGCTGCAGGGAGAGGAGGGGGTCCTTGGAGGAGCAGCCGACCAATGGCGGGGCGCCAGCTGGCAGGGAGTGGCCGCAGCAGGCTGCGACCTCCTGCGCCCACGTGAGAGCTGCCAGTGCCTTGTCGTACACGCGGCGGGCCTGGGGTGGAGGGGGGAGGAGAGGTGTGGGCGGGAGTTACAGAGAGTGTGGAACAACAGCGACAGGAGAAGCCAAGCAGCGCGAATGCAGGCAAGCAGATGGGGATGCGGCTGATTGGCTCACAGCGCCCGCCCCATGGGAGGGAAAGGGGAACAACGAGAAGTGGAGAAAAAATGGAGGCAGGGGCGCAGGGTTGAGTTGCAGTGACTCACAGCATCGACCTCGTGGCCGGCCCACAGGAACTCCTGCGCCTCCCGCAGAATGCCCGCTGCCGTCTCCACCGTGGGCGGCGACCGCAACACCACCTTGCCCCGCGACGCCCACTGCGCCGCCCACTCGCGGTGCGTCATCAGCCGGCCCCGCACCCGGCGCTGCTGTGCCTCCCACCCGTGGGTGCCGGCGCGCCTCGCCTGGAAGAACTCCTCCGCCTGCACCACGCGGCCCCTCGCCCCTGCTGCCACGCCCCTCAGCCACGCCCCCATCTCTGCCTCTGCATTTCTCCGCCCCTCTGCTGCTCCCCTCCCCGCCTGCCTCCCATTACCCCCCCCACCCTGTCGCTGTCCGCTGCCCCGCCGCTGCTCGCCTCCTCCTTAACGCTCTCCACGGCTTCTGCTGCGGCGGCGGCAGCAGCGGCGCGTCGGCTGCTTCGCCTGACAACGCTGGCGTCTTCCTCACACAGCCCGGCCATCTCCACTTCCTTCCCTCCCTCCTGTGCTTCTCCACCTCCCTCCTTGCCCGCCGCAGTTCCCCCGTGGCCCATCTCTGTCTCCGCCTCCACCGCTTCTTCCTTCACATCAACACGCCCCTCCACAGGTGCCTTACGGAGCAAGCCTGCCACAACAGAAAGGGGCGGTGCTGATTGGTCAACATCAGCAGATGCCAGGCTGCCACGCCATGGCTTCTCCACAACACTCATGCTCACACTGACGCCACACCCTTCACTATCACCAGCGTTGTCACCAGCACCAGCAGCAGCAGCAGCAGCAGCAGCAGCAGCAGCAGCAGCACCAGCAGCACCAGCACCAGCAGCACCAGCACCAGCACCAGCACCAGCACCAGCACCAGCAGCACCAGCACCAGCAGCAGCAGCAGCACCAGCAGCAGCACCAGCAGCAGCACCACCACCAGCACCAGCAGCAGCACCAGCGTCAGCAGCGGCACGTCCCTTGCTTTGCGCACAAGGCTGACGGTCTCCCTCTCCCCCACCGGCCCCGGCACCGGCACCCCCTTCCCCTGTGCTGCCCTCACCCCGTCCCACACCCCACCCCCCCCCCTCCACCTTCACGCCTATGCTCGCCAGCCCGCACATGGCAGGCGCGCCCATCGCACCGCCAGCCCCACCAGGGCTGACGCGGCGAGAATACGTGATGGGCGCAGCCGGGCAGCACACGGACTCGCCCTTCTGACTGCCACTGCTGCCGCTGCTGGTGCTGCCCCTAACCACCCCCAACCCCTCGTCACCTGGCCTTTTCCCCCTCCCATCACCAACCCCTGCTTCCCCACCACCAGAGGCTTGCCCGTGATCGCCCCCCAGCAGGTCCTTCAGCTCAGCGACTGAAAGGCGGTACAGCAGCGTGCGGTGGGCGGGCGGGCAGTCGCAAAGCTGGCACGCGTGCTGCGAGAGAGGGAGGGAGGTGGGGGGACAGTGGGGAGAGGGGAAGGTGGTCCAGAGGGAGGGGAGAGAGGAGAATGGTTGCGTCGCGGGTGGGAGGAAGGCGTGGAAAGTAAGAAATGCGCCCGACGAGCTGAGCACCTTTTGAGTCGACTCAAAAACTGAGCACCCATGCCAACACGGCAGTACAGTACAGGTGACAACGCAGGTGACAGAGCACCAGGGCAACAGAGCGGCAGCAAGAGAGAGCGGCAGCAAGAGAGAGCGGCAGCAAGAGAGAGCGGCAGCAAGAGAGAGCGGCAGCAAGAGAGAGCGGCCGCAAGAGAGAGCGGCCGCAAGAGAGAGCGGCAGCAAGAGAGAGCAGCAGCAAGAGAGAGCGGCAGCAAGAGAGAGCGGCCGCAAGAGAGAGCGGCCGCAAGAGAGAGCGGCAGCAAGAGAGAGCGGCAGCAAGAGAAGGCGGCAGCAAGAGAGAGCGGCAGCAAGAGAAGGCGGCAGCAAGAGAGAGCGGCCGCAAGAGAGAGCGGCAGCAAGAGAGAGCGGCAGCAAGAGAAGGCGGCAGCAAGAGGGAGCGGCAGCAAGAGAGAGCGGCAGCAAGAGAGAGCGGCCGCAAGAGAGAGCGGCCGCAAGAGAGAGCGGCAGCAAGAGAGAGCGGCAGCAAGAGAGAGCGGCAGCAAGAGAAGGCGGCAGCAAGAGAGAGCGGCAGCAAGAGGGAGCAGCAGCAAGAGAGAGCGGCAGCAAGAGAGAGCAGCAGCAAGAGAGAGCTGCAGCAAGAGAGAGCGGCAGCTAGACCTGGGCAGATTAAATCGCATCGCATCGCATCGCTCCGCTTTTAATTGCGTTTTTGCGAGTGCGATGTGTTTTTTTTTTATTCATCGCACGATGCGATGCTGTTTTATCGCGCGCTTTGATTTCAATCGCGTTTTAATCGCGCTGAAAGTTTCGATAAAAATGCAATTTGCGAAAAAAAAAAAAAAAAAAAAAAAAAAAAAAAAAACCATCGCACGTGATTTCGAAAAACCACGGGGGCTCGCACCTGTCCTAAACCCAATACTGAACCGAATTATTAATCTAAACTACCGCCCACGACTGCCCTTGATCCAACTTCCCATCTGTGTTGGTTCTTTTTATCCAGTTGCCTGAGGTGTTATTAAATTGAACTAAAATGCAATGCGATTTAAAATCGCATCACGCGATTTAAAAAAACATCACCTGCGGTTTAAATTAACCTCGCGCCCAAAATGCGATGTGCGATTTAAAATATTCACGAAATTAAATCGCGCGATGCGATTTTAAATCGCAGCAAGAGAGAGCGGCAGCAAGAGAGAGCGGCAGCAAGAGAGAGCGGCCGCAAGAGAGAGCGGCAGCAAGAGAGAGCGGCAGCAAGAGAGCAGCAAGAGAGTGCGGCAGCAAGAGAGAGCAGCAGCAAGAGAGAGCGGCAGCAAGAGAGAGCGGCAGCAAGCGAGAGCGGCAGCAAAAGAGAGCGGCAGCAACAGAGAGCGGCAGCAAGAGAGAGCTGCAGCAAGAGAGAGCTGCAGCAAGAGAGAGCGGCCGCAAGAGAGAGCGGCCACAAGAGAGAGCAGCAGCAAGAGAGAGCAGCAGCAAGACAGAGCGGCTGCAAGAGAGAGCGGCCGCAAGAGAGAGCAGCAGCAAGAGAGAGCGGCAGCAAGAGAGAGCAGCAGCAAGAGAGAGCAGCAGCAAGAGAGCGGCAGCTAGAGAGAGCGGCCGCAAGAGAGAGCAGCAGCAAGAGAGAGCGGCAGCAAGAGAGAGCGGCCGCAAGAGAGAGCGGCAGCAAGAGAGAGCGGCAGCAAGAGAGAGCGGCCGCAAGAGAGAGCGGCAGCAAGAGAGAGCGGCAGCAAGCGAGAGCGGCAGCAAAAGAGAGCGGCAGCAACAGAGAGCGGCAGCAAGAGAGAGCTGCAGCAAGAGAGAGCTGCAGCAAGAGAGAGCGGCCGCAAGAGAGAGCGGCCACAAGAGAGAGCAGCAGCAAGAGAGAGCAGCAGCAAGACAGAGCGGCTGCAAGAGAGAGCGGCCGCAAGAGAGAGCAGCAGCAAGAGAGAGCGGCAGCAAGAGAGAGCAGCAGCAAGAGAGAGCAGCAGCAAGAGAGCGGCAGCTAGAGAGAGCGGCCGCAAGAGAGAGCAGCAGCAAGAGAGAGCGGCAGCAAGAGAGAGCGGCCGCAAGAGAGAGCGGCAGCAAGAGAGAGCGGCCGCAACAGAGAGCGGCAGCAAGAGAGAGCAGCAGCAAGAGAGAGCGGCCGCAAGAGGGAGCGGCAGCAAGAGAGAGCGAAAGCAAGAGAGAGCAGCAGCAAGAGAGAGCGGCAGCAAGAGAGAGCGGCAGCAAGAGAGAGCGGCAGCAAGAGAGAGCGGCCGCAAGAGAGAGCGGCAGCAAGAGAGAGCAGCAGCAAGAGAGACCGGCCGCAAGAGAGAGCGGCAGCAAGAGAGAGCGGCAGCAAGAGAGAGCAGCAGCAAGAGAGAGCGGCAGCAAGAGAGAGCAGCAGCAAGAGAGAGCGGCTGCAAGAGAGAGCGGCCGCAAGAGAGAGCAGCAGCAAGAGAGAGCGGCAGCAAGAGAGAGCAGCAGCAAGAGAGAGCAGCACCAAGAGAGCGGCAGCAAGCGAGAGCGGCCGCAAGAGAGAGCAGCAGCAAGAGAGAGCGGCAGCAAGAGAGAGCGGCTGCAAGAGAGAGCGGCCGCAAGAGAGAGCAGCAGCAAGAGAGAGCGGCAGCAAGAGAGAGCAGCAGCAAGAGAGAGCAGCACCAAGAGAGCGGCAGCAAGAGAGAGCGGCCGCAAGAGAGAGCAGCCGCAAGAGAGAGCGGCAGCAAGAGAGAGCAACAGCAACAGAGAGCGGCCGCAAGAGAGAGCGGCAGCAAGGGAGAGCAGCTGCAAGAGAGAGCGGCTGCAAGAGAGAGCGGCCGCAAGAGAGAGCAGCAGCAAGAGAGAGCGGCAGCAAGAGAGAGCAGCAGCAAGAGAGAGCAGCACCAAGAGAGCGGCAGCAAGCGAGAGCGGCCGCAAGAGAGAGCAGCAGCAAGAGAGAGCGGCAGCAAGAGAGAGCGGCAGCAAGAGAGAGCGGCCGCAAGAGAGAGCAGCAGCAAGAGAGAGCGGCAGCAAGAGAGAGCAGCACCAAGAGAGCGGCAGCAAGAGAGAGCGGCCGCAAGAGAGAGCAGCCGCAAGAGAGAGCGGCAGCAAGAGAGAGCAGCAGCAAAAGAGAGCGGCCGCAAGAGAGAGCGGCAGCAAGAGAGAGCGGCAGCAAGAGAGAGCGGCAGCAAGAGAGAGCAGCAGCAAGAGAGAGCGGCAGCAACAGAGAGCAGCAGCAAACAAGAGCGGCAGCAAGAGACAGCGGCAGCAAGAGAGAGCAGCAGCAAGAGAGAGCGGCAGCAAGAGAGAGCGGCCGCAAGAGAGAGCGGCAGCAAGAGAGAGCAGCAGCAAGAGAGACCGGCCGCAAGAGAGAGCGGCAGCAAGAGAGAGCGGCAGCAAGAGAGAGCAGCAGCAAGAGAGAGCGGCAGCAAGAGAGAGCGGCAGCAAGAGAGAGCGGCAGCAAGAGAGAGCGGCAGCAAGAGAGACAGGCAGCAAGAGAGAGCAGCAGCGAGAGAGCGGCAGCAAGAGAGAGGGGCCGCATGAGAGAGCGGCAGCAAGAGAGAGCGGCAGCAAGAGAGAGCAGCAGCAAGAGAGCGCGGCAGCAAGAGAGAGCGGCAGCAAGAGAGAGCGGCAGAAGGAGAGAGCGGCCGCAAGAGAGAGCGGTCGCAAGAGAGAGCAGCAGCAAGAGAGAGCCGCAGCAAGAGAGAGCGGCAGCAAGAGAGAGCGGCCGCAAGAGAGAGCGGCAGCAAGAAAGAGCGGCAGCGAGAGAGAGCAGCAGCAAGAGAGAGCAGCAGCAAGAGAGAGCGGCAGCAAGAGAGAGCGGCAGCAAGAGAGAGCGGCCGCAAGAGAGAGCGGCAGCAAGAGAGAGCGGCAGGAAGAGAGAGCGGCAGCAAGAGAGAGCGGCAGCAAGAGAGAACGGCAGCAAGAGAGAGCGGCAGCAAGAGAGAGCGGCAGCAAGAGAGAGCGGCCGCAAGAGAGAGCGGTAGCAAGAGAGAGCGGCACCAAGAGAGAGCGGCAGCAAGAGAGAGCAACAGCAAGAGAGAGCGGCAGCAATAGAGAGCGGCCGCAAGAGAGAGCGGCAGCAAGAGAGAGCGGGCGCAAGAGAGTGCGGGCGCAAGAGAGAGCGGGCGCAAGACAGAGCGGCGCAAGAGAGAGGGGGCGCAAGAGAGAGCGGCAGCAAGAGAGACCGGGCGCAAGAGAGAGCGGCCGCAAGAGAGAGCGGCAGCAAGAGAGACCGGGCGCAAGCGAGAGCGGCCGCAAGAGAGAGCGGGTGCAAGAGAGAGCGGGCGCAAGAGAGAGCGGGCGCAAGTACCTGCAGGCACACGGCATCGCGGGGACGGCAGGAGCAGACGACCGCGGAGAGAAAGAGGTAGTAGCGGCAGATGAGGCACTCGAGATCCTGCTGAGAGGGGCAGGGCGCGTGGGGTGGGGAGAGGGTCGAGAACAGACAAGCACACAGGGATGGGGCAAGAGGGGGGAGGGAAGTGGCAGAGAGGCAGGGAGAGGAGCGACAGCAAAACACGAGAGGTTGCACAGGTAATGGCACAGGAAGTGGGGGCAGGAGGGCGGAGGGAGGAGGGGGGAGCGCGGAGGGGGTGGAGGAGGAGGGGAGGAGGGAGGAGGGCGGAGGCACAAGAGGACCACCACCCACGCTGAACATGCACATGAGACAGCATGAGGCCACATGAGGCAGCACGAGGCTGCATGAGGTAGCATGAGTCACCGTTAGACATGAGCCGGCTCGGCTCCGCTCGTTTTTTAAGCCTGAAGCCTAGGTGGGGGGTGTATAAATCGTGCTTAGGCTAGGAAGGGGCGCGCTGGCTAGTGTAGGGTTTTAAAAAAAGCGACTCTCAAAATGAGAGTTGTGTTTTTGGGGGGGTCGATTTTTGACCCCCGCAGCTTCAACCCGCGCTGAAGCCAAGCCGGGTCGAGCCAGGCTTCGGCTCGGCTTCGGCTTCGGTGAAGCCGCGAGCCTTGCCGAGCCGGATCCGAGCCGAGCCGGCTTGGATGAAAGCCAATGTCTGGTCAGCATGAGTCAGCATGAGTCAGCATGAGTCTGCATGAGTCAACATGAGGCCGCATGAGGCAGCACGAGCACATCACGCACGCAGCCACACGAGGTGCAAAAAAACGGTTTCCGTATTAAACGGTCCGTTTTTTACGGTCGTTTTATACGGCAGACTTCTGCAAATTCTACCGTTTTATTGTTAGTTTTTTTTTCCCGGTTTTTTTCTTTTTCTTTTTTTACCCTAAACTAAAAAAAATCGCTGCGAAACAGAGGGCCTGATGGCGGCGACAGCCGACGTGCATCTAAAACACCATCCTCGTACTCCTAGACCTCCTTTCATTGTCCTTCTCGCCCTTCCTTTACCCTCCCCCTCCTAGTCCTCCTACTCTACTCCAGCTCTGCTCTTCCTCCTAATTGTCCTCCTCCTCCTCACCCTAGTCCTCCCCTTCCTCGCTCTAGTCGCCCTCCTCAACCTCCTCACCCTCCTCGATATAAAGCGAACTTCCGTTTTATACGGCGGCATAAATAAAACGACCGTATAAAACGGCCGTTTTTTCGCACCAATCAGAAAACACCACTTTTTACCGTTATAATCGTATTAAACGGCCGTTTTATACGATTCCGCTTCATAAGGTAAAAAAAAGTTAAAAACGCCGTTTTTTTGCACCTTGCAGCCACATGCAGTGTTACAAGCTTGTGACGCATGCTGCTGAAGAATAAAAAACTTCCATACAAAACATGAACAGTACCCCACAGAGCCATAAACAGCGCCTCTCTTTCGCCATGAACAGTACCACCCAAACGCCATGAACAGTACCTCCCAGAAGCCATGAACAGTACCTCCCTGTCACCATGAAGAGTACCACCCAGGAGCCATGAACAGTACCTCTTCCTCGGTGATGGCATCCGCCCTGGCATGTGGCGCCATGCGTGCGCTCCTCACGGTACCCTGCGCCCACACCGCGTCCCTTGCCCGCTGCTCCCCCTCCACAATCCGCCGCACCTCCGCCCCCGCCACCTCCCTCTCCCCAGGCAGCAGCCCGCGCTGCTTGTTCTGTGCGCAGCGGGAGGGCGGGAGGGCGGGAGGGCGGGAGGGGGGGGGCATGGGGGCGACGGTGGAGTGGAGGGGACAGTGACGGGGAATACAGGCGGCTGCGGCAGAACACGGTGAGGTGCGCAACACAGTGAGGTGCGCAACACAGTGAGGTGCGCAACACAGTGAGGTGCGAAACACAGTGAGGTGCGCAACACAGTGAGGTGCGAAACACAGTGAGGTGCGAAACACAGTGAGGTGCACAACACAGTGAGGTGCACAACACAGTGAGGTGCACAACACAGTGAGGTGCACAACACAGTGAGGTGCGCAACACAGTGAGGTGCGCAACACAGTGAGGTGCGCAACACAGTGAGGTGCGCAACACAGTGAGGTGCGCAACACAGTGAGGTGCGCAACACAGTGAGGTGCGCAACACAGTGAGGTGCGAAACACAGTGAGGTGCGCAACACAGTGAGGTGCGCAACACAGTGAGGTGCGCAACACAGTGAGGTGCGCAACACAGTGAGGTGCGCAACACAGTGAGGTGCGAAACACAGTGAGGTGCGAAACACAGTGAGGTGCGAAACACAGTGAGGTGCGCAACACAGTGAGGTGCACAACACAGTGAGGTGCACAACACAGTGAGGTGCGCAACACAGTGAGGTGCGAAACACAGTGAGGTGCGCAACACAGTGAGGTGCGCAACACAGTGAGGTGCGCAACACAGTGAGGTGCGCAACACAGTGAGGTGCGAAACACAGTGAGGTGCGCAACACAGTGAGGTGCGCAACACAGTGAGGTGCGCAACACAGTGAGGTGCGCAACACAGTGAGGTGCGCAACACAGTGAGGTGCGCAACACAGTGAGGTGCGCAACACAGTGAGGTGCGCAACACAGTGAGGTGCGCAACACAGTGAGGTGCGCAACACAGTGAGGTGCGCAACACAGTGAGGTGCGCAACACAGTGAGGTGCACAACACAGTGAGGTGCACAACACAGTGAGGTGCGCAACACAGTGAGGTGCGAAACACAGTGAGGTGCGCAACACAGTGAGGTGCGCAACACAGTGAGGTGCGCAACACAGTGAGGTGCGCAACACAGTGAGGTGCGCAACACAGTGAGGTGCGCAACACAGTGAGGTGCGAAACACAGTGAGGTGCGCAACACAGTGAGGTGCGCAACACAGTGAGGTGCGCAACACAGTGAGGTGCACAACACAGTGAGGTGCGCAACACAGTGAGGTGCGCAACACAGTGAGGTGCGCAACACAGTGAGGTGCGCAACACAGTGAGGTGCGCAACACAGTGAGCCTGGAGCATGATGGCATGATGGCATGATGGCATGATGGCAGGATGGCATGATGGCATGATGGCATGATGGCATGATGGCATGATGGCATGATGGCACGATGGCATGATGGCACGATGGCACGATGGCATGATGGCATGGTGGCACGGCGGCTCAATTTCATGGAGGCATGGAAGCATGGTGGTACCAGCAACCCCTTGTGCTTAAAAAGAAGAAGTTCCTCTTAAGAATCAACGCATTGAGTCAACTATGCAGGAGCACAGACCGAGCCATGCCCGGCTCGACTCAAGCCAGCGCAGGCTCGCCCTCCCGTCAACCCGAGCCGAGCTGACCAGCTGTTTGGCTCGTGGCTCCTGTGATCGACACCAGCCAGCCAGGGCATGGCTCGTCTCGAGCTGCGTCGGCTCGCCACGCGACAGCCAGCTCTCGAGCCTTCCTTGGCTTGCTCGCCAGGCAGGGTTTAGCCCACCAGATCTGCGTTGGCTGTCGACGAACGGTGACGGGCCACAGAGACAAACATTCGGGCTTGCCGACGCCGTTCGCCCAAGCCCGTGAAGGCAACGAGGCGGATCCAGCTGGTGAACAGACATCGCTGCCTCTACTCACGTTCGAATACCTAAAAGCAACCTCACCATGAGCAGCACGCAGAGCATCTCACCATGAGCAGCACGCAGAGCATCTCCTCGTGCGAGAGGATGGACTTGCGCCGGAACAGGCGATAGCGCTCGACGCTCAGCCCGCCCCACGGCAGCCAGTCACACGGGGCGAAGTTGACGGCCTCGGCACAGTTCACTCCTGGGAGGGAACGAACGAACGAACGGGGGAGGCATGGGCGCAGGGGTACAAGAGGCGAGGCGCACGCACAGCCCACACTCACACAGACCCCTAGCAGCAGCCAGTGACAGGTGACCAATCCAATGTTGACAAGTCGGGAAACGATGGGAGCAACAACAAGACCCATGATCCATCCACGCCCGAGCAAAGCGGGTAACAGCAGTGACACCAGTTGGCATGGCTAACGGAATGTATGTGTAGAAAGGGGAGGGGAGGGGCCTGCCTTGATTGAACCCCCCGTGGTAGGAGCGTGGGAAGGTGATGACGAACTCCCCCGCAGCCTGCACGGTGCGGAAGATGGGCACCCCGGCGCGGTGCAGCGCCATGGGGTGCAGCATGGTCACCAGCTGGAACAGCAGGTCCGGCTGCGCTGAAAACAGGTCCGGGAACGCCGACCGCATCACCTGGAAAGGGTTTGAGTGGGGAATGGTGCCGGAAGAGTGAAGGGGATAGCGAGGGGATGGCAAGCGGCAGAAGGTAAGAGGTCCAGCCTAGGTGTGAGGGCAAGACGCGAATGCGAAGTAGAGCAGTGGAAAGAACAAATTGAGAGTGAATGGACCAGAGGAGATAGTGGCACGAGGGCGTGGCACTTCAAACGGCTCACTTGCCTTCTCGAACGCCTCTGCTGCATGCCCTGGCACACCATACCACAGCTTGGGCTCTCCCCTGCCGGCCACAGGGCAGCCGAGGATGGGAGGGTGGAAAGAGGAGGGAAGTTTGATTTTTGCAAGAGGGGCGGGGGGTTGGGGAAAGAGGAGTTTGCTGACGGAAGCAGGAGAGGCACGAGTGATGGAAACGAGGATGTGGCGGATGAAGGGGCAGAAGTGAGCAGCACACCAATGCATGTGGCCACGAGGCCCACCTACCAGTGCACAGGGTGCAGCACCATATCGTACCTACCAGTGCACAGGGTGCAGCACCATATCGTACCAACCAGTGCACAGGGTGCAGCACCATATCGTACCAACCAGTGCACAGGGTGCAGCACCATATCGTACCAACCAGTGCACAGGGTGCAGCACCATATCGTACCAGTGCACGTAGTTGACGGAGTAGAAGCAGTGGTCCTCGAAGTGCCAGCAGAAGGCGGAGAGGCTCATGCCCATGTACAGCCACGGCACGATGACCCCGGGGATGGCGTCCTCCACATACCGCAGCACGGACGCCGCGTCCCGCGCGAGGTTGTTCAGGTTCCACCGCGCCTCCGCGTACTGCCGCCACCGCGCCTCGCTCACACCGCTCTGCACCGCATGCGGCGGCACGGGCTCGCCGCGCCTGGGGAAGCCGCTGCCACTGACCCCGGTGTCGATGTCGCTGCCATACAGCGTCTCCACCGGACCCACGGCGCCGTCCACTATCCGCCAAAACGCCTCCTCCAGCTGCGCTGACGTCAGCGCGCCAGCCTGTTTGGCGCCGAAGAGCTGCTCGCGCAGCATGCGATCGGCGCGTTGCAGGGCGGCGATGGAGATGTTATCTCCGGTGGTGAAGCCAAAGGTGTCGTGGGGGCGCGCCACGCAGTCCTGGCAGAACCACGTGCCGGGCGGCACGGTGGAGAGCGGTGGAGAGAGGCAGAAGAGGTGCCAGCCGCGGTCGCAGCGGTCGCACAGCAGCATCTGCTCCTCGTGGCCGCCCCCTCTGCACCGCTCGCACACCGCATCCGCTGCCGCGTCGTCGCTGTCCGAGTCATCGTTCTCTCCATCCTCCTCCTCCCCGTCCGACTCCGCTTCGCTGTACTTCACGCCCTTGGCTGCGCGCCGATGGCTGTTGGACCTGCCTGCGTCACTCGCACCCTGCCCGCTGCTGCTGCCATCGTTCCGCTTCTGGGACTTGCTACCCTTTTCCCCGTCCGCCTCACGTTCTTGTCGTTTTCTCTTCCCGTCTGCAGCACTTTCCGCCTCCCCACGCGCCTCGCTGCATCCATCCTCCCCCTCCGCTTCTTCCCCGCCCGTTTCTCTCCACGCCTCCAGCTCTTCCAGCCGCCATCTGCGGTACACCGCCTTCAGCCCCCCCGCGTCCATACTCGCCCGCTTCCCCTCCCCCGCCCCCTGTCCCCCGTTCGTCCCACTAAGCAGCACCGACCGGAGCACGTCCCCCCACGCCCTGCTCTCGCTCACGCGCGCAAATCCCCCCCGCCGCTGCACGGCGTGGAACAGCGTGCAGATGTCCACCGCGCCCGCGCGCATGGCTTCCGCCGCCACCACCGCCCTGTCCTCTGCAGAAACCCCTTTCTTCCCCAACCCCATCCCCGCGCGCGCAAGTGCGCGCTGCAGCGCGGGCGGGGGCGCAAGGCGGAGGGCGGAGAGGAAGCGGAGGTAGTCAAGCGCGAAGGTGGCGGGGTCGGCGGGCGCGGGGCGGCGCTGCAGCTGGTGCAGCGCCTGCACCTTGGTGCGGAAGCGGAACTTGGAGCGGTCTAGCGCGAAGGGGGGGTCCCAGCCTGGCGGGGGGACTATGCGACACATGCCGCACGGCTCTGCGACTGGGCGAACACGTGCGATGAATCGCAGGGGGTCGGCGAACTCTTCGGGCGAAGGGTGGAAGACAGGGCACTCGTGCAGGGCCACGGAGGGAACGCGCGTGGGGCCCGACGCTCGGCCGAGGAGCACCGCTGCCTTGGAGTTAGCCGGTGGCTTGGAGCTAGCCGGTAGCTTGGAACTAGTCGCTGCTTTGGAACTAGCTCCTTCCGCACACTGCTTTGGCGCTACGCCTCCCCCTCTCCCGCCCTTACACTGCTGCCCCTCAGCCTTGCTCTCTACGCCCTCAGATCCGTTCTGATCCCTACAGTCGTTTGTGCGAAATTCCCGGTTTCTTGCTGCTTCGCGACACCTTGTGCGACGAGTGCCCTGGTCGCACAGTGTGTGCCTGCTCGGATCCGCACCGTTGCTGTCCACTGATGGCCCTCCCGCTCCTAAAGCTGCCCCTTCATTGCCTTCTGCTGCTACAGCTCCCCCTTCGCTGCATGCTACAGCTGCCCCTTCGCTGCCTGCTACAGCTGCCCCTTCGCTGCATGCTACAGCTACCCCTTCGCTGCATGCTACAGCTACCCTTTCGCTGCATGCTACAGCTGCCCCTTCGCTGCCTGCTACAGCTGCCCCTTCGCTGCATGCTACAGCTACCCCTTCGCTGCATGCTACAGCTGCCCCTTCGCTGCCTGCTACAGCTGCCCCTTCGCAGCCTGCTACAGCTGCCCCTTCGCTGCCTGCTACAGCTGCCCTTTCGCTGCCTGGTGCAGATGCCGCTGCTGCTGCTCCAGGTGATCTGGCTCCTACGACTGCTTTTGCTTCCGCTACACTTCCTGTCGTCTCTGTTACAGTGGTCATTGCTGCTGCTGCTGTTGCTACGGGCATCGCAACAGGGGTCTTCGTGGCTTCGTCTAGGCTTGCTCTCGTACCTCCGTCACTGTGCGTCGCGCCGTCCTGTCGGAGAGTTTCAGCCTTAGCCATGGCACGATCTGATCGCAACGAGGATTGGACTACGAAAACCCTAAGCGGTTAGGAGCTAAGGAGAGTCGGTCCTGTGCATGAATGCTCTGCTTAGGGCGTGTCACTAAAGTATGTCCGATTGCGGTTCGCAAAGATGTTTTGCGTTCTGAAACGGTCAAATAAATTTCTAGAGCGGTTTAGTATGGTATTTTGCCAAAACCATTTTTGGTGACACGCCCTTAGGTCCAGTCCCTAGGATGTGAACTTTCAGGTTGATAAATGACTTGCTTGATTGCTAGCTCTGGCCTTGTTCCCATTTCTAGGTTCGCCATTTCGCCAGCCACTCCCTTCACCTAACGAGGTCGGCCGGGGAAGTCGTGAATACAGTCGCGACGTTCGTGAGCCTCTGACAACTTGCGAGGGGAGAGGGGAGGAGAGGAGAGGCAACGAAGTGCTGAGTCGAGGGGAGGGAAGGGACCTCACATTTGGGGGGGAAGGGAGGATTTGCCGTTCAAGCATGGGACCGGTATTCGCTCGCTTTCTATGTCTCGTACAGTGTATACTGAATAACTTCTTTGCTTTATTCAGGGTATTAAATAATAATATGATTCGAAGGCTAGAGTTTCGAGTTAATTCGTGTCTATAGAAGATTCGGGTGTCTGGTATCCGTAGAGTGTGCATCCCAGCAACGAACCTCCACTCCTCTACTACCCGCGTCCTCCTCTTCCGTTGCTGACCCCTTCCTCAAGCAGGTCAGCAACCGAGGAAAAAGGAGGACCCGGAACAGAAGGTCAAATGCTCAGTACTCAAAACGCAAATTCCAAAGAGCGCCAGACCGGGAGCGTTCACATAACCTGAAATCTGAAAGTGAGGGCGCATTTCGCATCGAGTGTTGGACCCGAAGGATTAGCAGGAAGATCCGAGGCTGGAAAATTTTGCCTCGAGTCTTGCGAAAAACAGAGGGCCTCAGCCAGTCAGCTGTCAAGCAGAACGACGACCAATGTCGCGAAAAGGAACTTCCACCAATCATAAACTCGAACGATTTTGGTGGACTCGCAAAGTTCGGCCAGTATAGTCGCAGCCCTCTCCCTGCGACGGTTCGCGACTGAGGAGCCGCTGCACCGTCAAGAATAGAAAACCCGCAGTTGGGTTGTGACAGCCCGCGGCTCCTTCGGCCGAGGGTCAACCTCGGGTCTGCCACTCGCTCCAAATCATTCCTAAGTTCTCTTCGAAATTATCAGGGAACCACAGGAAACAGGACTGCTGGGCTTGCCACGTGCATTCCAGAGACTTTGCTGAGGTGGATCGGGCAAGCTCGATTGAAGGGAACATTCCAAAGCGCTGGACAGTATTGCATCTATAACATGGCATTTGATGATACCTTGTAAGGAAATGGTACGGTATTTCCATACCCCGGTTTTAGTTAGTAAGGCATACACTGCTACAACATGGTTGCCTTGCTGTCTGCCACGAAATTCAAATCGCGGCACCCGAATATGGTCTCCTAAAGAGCCACATACATTTTCCCCGCCTTTTTGTTTCATGCCTGGATATGTGCGCCCTGTTAAATTATATTTGTTATACCGTAAACGCCCGGATAGAAGACCCCCATGGAATAGAAGACACTATGTCTTGTATTAGGCGTCTATCTGTATTCGGCCTCTCCGTTTATAGGACACACTTTTTTATGCAGTATGACCCAAGTGACGTACACACCCTAAAACCCCGGTTCGCGCTTTCTGCCCACCCAAAAAGGGATCCGATTATAATATTTTTTTTCCATTTATAAGTATTGGGCTGAGAAAAGCCCTTAGGATCTTTTGCAGAGACTAAGTCCCAGCTGTAGAGACTTTCAAACTTTGAGTAGTGCAGCGGAGGTTGAAGCAGTTGAACCCTTGTACTAGTAATGTGAGAACAAGTGATTAATTGAAGAAACAAGCATACAGCAATATATAGAAGATAGGAAGGCAGTTGTAGAATACAGTTACAGGAACGGTTTATTGAGTCGCACAGCGACTCGATTGCCGCTTCGGTTACCATCCGTGATGTTGTAACGGTCAGTCGCAACCTCCAGTTGCGACCTTTCGAGTCTTTTCGCATTCTTTGTCCGCCCCCTCGTGTAACCTCCGTTGACTCGCGTGCTCCCCTGTAATCTTCCTCGAGTACAGTGTTACACTTCAGAAACGCTCAAGTCCTTTGAGATATTTCCAACACTCCCCTTCGTTTCTGGAGTGCTGGAGTGTTCAGATCCGGTGACGTTTGTTTGCACGGTCAGGAGCATGCAGTAGTCGAATTTTGCTTTCGCCAATTTCTTCGTCAGATAATCTGCGGCCATTTCTGTCGTTGGCAGTAACTGAGTTGAAGTCTCCCCTTCGCGATTTCATCCTTGACGAAGAAGTACCGCAGGGCGATGTGCTTGGTTCGGTTGGCGAAGCCGTCCTTGTTCGCGATTTTGATCGCAGATTGGTTGTCGCAGAGGAGTGAGAAGGCGGGCAGGGTCGCAATCTTCGCTTCCTCGAGTAACTCTCGTAGGTAGAGTCCTTCCTTGGTCGCGGTACAAAGGGCGATATACTCTGCTTCAGCCGAGGAAGTGCGATTAACTCCTGCTTGCTCGACTGCCAGGAGATAGTTCCGATGGGTTCTAGTCGGTAGATATAGCCCGTCCTAGATCGTCGATTTTCCCTATCTCCCGCGTGGTCGCGTCGACGTATCCGAGTAGTCGTACGGACGGTGTTGTCGCTTTGCTGTAGGTAAGTCCGATCGTCGGCGTGGAGACGAAGTAGAGTAGTGCCGGTTGAGCTCCTCGAGATCTTCCTGTTCCGGTTGCTTCAGATGCGTCGCCAGTTGACTCGCACTATAGGACAGGTCGGGTCGGCAGGTTACTGCTGCGAACAGTAGGCAGCCGAGCTTCTGTTGATACTCCTGATTTGCTTCGCGGGAGTTTTGCGGAGGTGCTGTTGTTGTTCCCGTAGCGGTAGGGAGTTGGGACCGTAGTCGGTGTTAGACCGAATTTCTTCGCGACGGTGCCTGATACTTTCCAGCGTGTAGGTAGAACGCCGTGTCGTCTTCGACGACATTCAGTCCTAGGTACTGGGTCACTTCGTCGGACACCGTGAGTGTTAAGTCTTCTTTCAGCTCCCCTTCGAACCAGGTAGCGATGTCGGTAGTGGAGCCGATGATAGAGCAGGTCGTCGACGTAGACGATGAGTAGGATATACTCTCTTCCCTTCTGCAATCGGTACATCCCTTGGTCATGCGGCAGTTGTAGGAATCCGATTTTTGCGAGACGGCCGTGGAGATGCTGCTGCCAGAGCCGCGGGGCTTGCTTGATCCCGTATAGGGATTTTGTCAGTTGGCATACTTTCGTGGGGTCGGTATGTGAATCCGTGGGGTTGTTCGACGAAAATCTCAGCGTCCACAGGTGCGTATAGGAACGCATTCGCGACGTCGATTTGGCGTAGTGGTAGTGTCTTCGTGGCCGCGACGGCGAGTAGGATGCGTAATGAGGTGTGACGGGAGACTGGAGCGAAGGTTTCTGTGTAGTCGTCCCGTATCGTTGGTCGAAGCCTCGTACGACCATCGAGCTTTGAATCGTTCGATGGAGCCGTCTGAGTTGGTCTTAATGCAGTACACCCATTTCCCTGAGAGGACGTTTTTTCCGTTGATGCTTGTTGCAGGTACCAGTTTCCATGTTTTCCGGTCTTGCAGAGCCTTTAACTCATTTCCATCGCTTCCTTCCATTTCGCCTTATGTTCCCCCCCAGAGCGTGCGACAAGGTCGAAGGCTCTCGCGGAGAAGGCGGCGGCGGATGCTGGACGGAGACTTAGAGGCCTAGAATCTGCAGTCCCGTGGGTGTGTGTCGAGGGGAATTTTCATTCCCGGAATAAGCTGCTTCGTCACCGTCTTCTGGGTCAGGTAAGAAGTTGGGACCGATGCGTTCTGAAACATTTGTGTCGACTGGGTGGGGTGTAATGTAACCTTGGTCAGCGAAGTGGTAAAAGGTGTCGAGGTTGTTTGCTATCGAGAGGATTGTCTTCGTCGAGTGGAACAGGTACGGAACAGAATGGGAGTGGTCCGGCAGCTTCCGAGGCTTCAGGTACGTCTTCTTCTGCTGCGTCAGCTTCGGCAGCACGGTCGGCGAAGGAACGAAGCCCGAGAAGCCGTCGGTGGGGTCTTGTGTGTTGGCAATGTTGTCCAGGTAATGCTGCAGCGTCAGTCGCTCGTAGAAGATAACATCACGTGATGCCCGTATTTTTGTCTTGTATGTCGAGAATTTTCCACGCGTGAAAATGTTTTGCGATGCCGAGGTGTAGTCCCCACCGAGCTCGTTGTGTGAAGCGTCCTGCTCGGGCTGTGTGGGGTCTGTATTGTACCATGCAGCCGAAAACTCGAGTAATTTTGTGCTGCCCCTTTTTTTGTCCACAACAGGTGCGGTGATGCGTTGTTGGGAAGTGATGACGAGGACAGCAGGTTGTGCAGGTGAACTGCATGTGTCATCGCGTCTGGCCACAGTGTGGTGGGCAGCCTCATCCCCAGAAGCAGTTTTCGCATCGTCGTCTGCAAGGTCCGGTTCATGCGTTCTGCTACCCCCTGCTGCTGGTGAGCATAGGGCAGAGACACCAGGCGTCGGATTCCTCTTTCCGCCAGATAGGTCCTGAAGCGTTGTGACTGGTATTCCAGTGCACCGTCTGACTGGAAGCTCTTGAGCTTGGTTCCTGATTCTCGTTCGGCGATGGTGAAGGCCTCGAAGGCTTGATCGCGCGTTTTGAGATTGAAGTGCCAGACGTATCTGGTTGCTGCGTCGATGAACGTGATGACGTAGTTGAAGTCGGCTTCGGTGTCGTCTCGAGGCATGTTTAAAATATCGCTGTAGACCTTTTCCATCGGAGCGTAAGTAGGTGCGCTTGGGTTGTGATGGATGGAAAGGTTGATGAGGAAGATCTGCTTCGGGGCACGTGAAGCACCGTGCTCGTGGTCGTCGAAGTTCTTGGCCGCTCGTCGTTAGAAGGGCGTTGCGTTCTAACACCTCTGCTTGGATTGTTTGTAGTATCGTGCTGTTTGCAGGATGTCCGAGACGTTGGTGCCAGATGTCGTCGGGAGCGCGTGACCGGGCGAGCGGTGGTAGATGTCGGCGTTGGAGAAGAACGCGACGACTGAGGCGGGACTTCGACAACTTCTCGTGTGGGCATAAGTTGGTCTGCTTCGGTTGGCGGTCCTCGGTCGCTGGTGGTGGGTACTCGGCTGGGTCCTGCTGCCGATACTGCA